TAAGAAATCTTGAGCAGAGCTGCCACTAAGCTTAATCTCCATAGCTTAAGATCAATCTTAAGCAGCGATCCTTACTACTCTAGAGAGCATGATACCCTTTACTCACAGTTCCGTGAGATTCTTCTAAAGTGATTAAGAAAATGCTAACACTGTGCTCAATGTACAAAAAGCTCTTAATTATCAGGGTGCATATTGCAGATTACAGACAGAACGTGGTTTTAAACCCATTGATTTTAGCCTTTTTATATACTTCATGACATTCTTACCTGTACTACAGTAAGTTAACAGTGAGGACTCTCTGTGTGTGGCTCTGTCTCTGTCCTGTAATCCATCTATTTCCATTATACAGCTGCCAGGCTGGGAGTTGTTCCATTTTGTGTATAAATTGCACTCCAAATACAAATCCTGTTCCGTTAGATGTTGGAAGACCTGGGCTTAGCTCTTGTGTCTGAGAAAATCTGGTATTGTACCTTTCCAGGCTACAGAATTTTGAGACAACAGGAAAAAAATGGCAGTAGAGCTCAAATGATTCCAGGCTACATAAAAAATTTACTAATGTGCTAGGAAATCTGTTCTTAACTTAGTGTCCCTCATGCAAGAGGCAGATGACAGTTACCTTATTCCTTTAGCTTACTCTCAGGGTGAATTTATGCTAGAGGACTTTGTTCTTTTCTAGTTAGAAAAGCTGCTAGATAATATACAGGCAAACTGTATCCTGTCTTGACTTCAAGATAAGCTTCTAATGTGAACTTAATGCAAGAAACTACAATAAAATATAATTGCATTAAAAACCCCAATGTATTTACCACCAACTCAGAAACTGGCACAGAGATTTCAGCATGCAAGTGCAACTATTCATTAAAATAACTATTCAGGTGATTAAGAAAGGAAGAAACTGCTTTAAAGAGCTTGAGGTTTTTTCTGTATATATTTTTGGGACTTCAGAAAAAATACTCAGTAATTTACATAGCTGATATTGTATGTTTAAAGAAAAATGCAAACTACCGAGAAAGCTACTGAAGTTTGATACCCATCAATCTTTATTCATACTGGCCAGATTACTTTTAAAAACACCATGAAGTAGACACACACTGCCATCTAGTGAGCTTCTCTAACATAGCTGTGGTTTGATTTCTGAGGAGAGGAAAATGTGTTGCTCGGAGCAAGTAACTTAACTTAATACAGTACAAAACATTTACAGACTTAAAAATGCTGCACTGAATGCTTTGTCAATTGTATATTATATAATAGAGATACACAGAGCAAAGCTAAAGTATTTTATTAATAATTTATTGTCAGTAAGAAAGACTGGCTAATGGTAATTTTCAGTAAAAACCTTTACAAGACCATTGGATCACAAATATACAGACACTATAAAAACTGTGTCATGGTGGTTTTGGTTCTAAACTGGTATATAGAGGGTCCCCAACACACTTTCCAAGAAGGGAAAAAATGTTTACAGTTCTAAAATACAGCAACCCATTTAAGACATTTCCATGTAGCTGACCCAGAAAAATATCAGACCTAACCTATGTACAACTGGAACTGTGTGAATACGTTGGGTTTTTTATAATGAAATGTCAAACCTTAGTTTTCAGGGGAATGCATACAGTGATGCCCTGATTATAATAAGTCAGGGTGCTAGTTTTTTAATGGCACACTAACACCACCAGTTTCAGTGGAAAAGAAATTCACAAAATATCTACAAAAATCTAGTTAAAACTATTAAAATCAAAACTGTACATAAAATTTACAAAAAGTAGGAGAAAATTAATTGCATTAGAACTATATAAATATATGCATCATGCTAACATGGAAAAGTGGTATGTGATTTTTTTTTTTTAACATAGACAATGTAAGTACAAAAGGGATGTTCAGAAAGGGCAGAGACAATGGAAATCTTGGAACTGTCCAATTACAGTAGGTCAGGAAATGGAAATAGGCTGATTTAGTAAAATGAACTGCATGATCCAATGCTGCCATGCCAGTTTAGCTCACTGAAACAAAAGCATTTGCTGTGGCTGGGAAAAAGAAAAAAATAAAAAAGCTCTTGAAAGTTGTTCTAGAAGTGACAAAGTTTGTTTGAGTCCAGGCACTTTTGTTGAGTGTGTCAGACTTCTGTGTGTTGCTGGGAATCAAGTGGAGGAATTTTCACATCTGCAAAATGACCATCATCTCCACTCTCATAGTCACTCATCATGACTTCAGACTCCATTTCACAGCATGCTGACACATCAGAGCATGAAGCTGTGGAAGCGTACACAGACATGGACATGTTGTCTACAGCGGGTGCTTCAAAGTCTCTATTGTACCCTAACGCATAAGGAGCATAAGGTTCTCTGTAACTGCCGTTGACACCACTGGTTGTGGTCTGAGGTTCTGACATGTCTGCAGGATAGTGATGCGGAAGGTACTGATTAAGGTTAAATCTCTGCCTGCTTCTTGTAGATGAACCCAAGCTACCTATGGCCGGCATGTCTCTGGGTGGCTGTATTGACTCAAACTGGTCGCTGTATTCTGGTGGTAATGGTGGAAGCTCATCAGGTGCAGGGAAGTCATCAGGTGGAGGTGGAAAATCACTTTCTATGTCATAACCGCCAGGGTAATAGTCTGTATCGATGGCGTTTGGATCTGTGTAGAGGGGAGCTGACTCCTCAACCACTTCATAATTTGGATACTCTTGGATACCTGGCAACTGAACGCTTGGCATCCAGTCTGATGTATCCCAGTGATAACCTGAAAAGTTAATTAAAAAAAAATAGTACTATTAGTATCTTGTCTTCAAGTCAATCTGAACTGAAAAGTCAACACATATGTTAAGACAATGCAATCGCTGTGATTAGGACACTAGTTAGAGAGCAGTTTGCCCCAGTTCCACAAAAGACATTCAACACGACACAACTTTACATTATGCCATGCATTAGATATTGCATCATTCACACTTGAACTTGTACACTTTCTCAGACATCTCACCTAACGTGGGAAGAGCTGTAGGTCACCTATGGAATATGCTGTCACAATACATAATGGCATAGAATTGTTCACTGGATAGCAAAGAACCACCAGCCTCCCTGGTGCAGCTAAATTCTTAATCAATTGTTGTTGAGTAATTACAGTTAAGGTGATTACAGCTGCCTGGTTTTCTTATGAATATGTTTAGCATATATAAACCATGCTTTTCTTACATAAAAGTAATTTCTATTTAGTAAAGTATCCAGACCATTTAAAGCACCTTTGCCCCTTAACTGAATTGTAAAGTTCATTTCACAAAATGCTGTTAGCTCTACAGTAACTTCCACACATCTGCTAAAATTTTTGATTATTAGTAAAAACATTCCACATTCAAATACAAGAACAAAACAAGAACAATCAAGCTTAATCATGCATAAATGACCGAACTTGATCCTCTCTTGCAAACTCCCCTTAAATAAGTTTGTATTGGTCTGCTGGAAACTAGATGTAAGCCTAATCTCATTTAAAAAAAAATAAATTGTTTTTCTCATCTAAACTCCAAAAAGGAAAATACTACAGAATTGTAGTAAGGTACAAATCTAGTAAAGAGTAATCACTGCAAACAAATGCACAGCAAGCAACTGATAGTAAGTCTGTGTTAAAACCAAGTATGAACAGAAATATTTTGGTGAACATCAATGAACTGCATGCAGAAGTCACCTCTTGAATTGCTGAGGTCAGGAACAGCAAAAGATTCTTTTAGGTGGCAGAATGAGAAGAAAAAGGAGAAAACATCTGTAGTTAGGAATCAAATAGTAGAACCAATGGGAAGACAAACAATGACTGTCACTATGATGTTCATGCTGCTTTTGTCCCTTATTACTAGGCAAAATATGCCAGTTTACTTAACAGTACTAAAATTGGCAAATTTTTTTTTTTTTTTTTTCTCCTGGGCTCCTTCTTTGTTAGACTTGAACTGTAGAATAGCTACTGAGTTAATGTAGCCCACCCGGGACATGGCTATGTAGTGGCAAAATCTACAGTCTGTAGAAATCTATCAGTAGATTTAGGACTTGTGCTAAAAAGGGTACTAAGGCCTGGTCCGATCTTTTTCTTTCCTTATATCCCCTTGCTTTTATATGCAGGGCTGCACCTGTTAGGACTTAAGACTTTAAAGTATCTCATGCAAAGATGGGAACTCTCCCTTTAGTATCTAGCTACCATACACTGCGCATCAGGACACCCACCTCCCTTTGTACAGCAATCCCAACAACTCATGCTCAGCAGAGAGCTGTCCTGTGGTATCTGACAAGTTTTAAACCCTTCTCTTTTCAGGAATCTATATTCCCTATTCAGGTCTGTAAGATAGGCATCGCCCATCCTTCTTAATACTAGAATCTTCTCCTAAGAATTGATAGTTGTATCTATTCTTGGAAGACTAGAAGGAAAGAGGTTGATTCTTGGGGGGGGGGGGGGGGGGGGGGGGTTTTTGGGTTTTGGGGGGGGGGGTTTTTTGTGGGTTTTTTTGTTTTTTAAAGTTTGCCTAGCCCAGACAAAAGTCCACACTAAAGGAGGTATCAGTCTGTTATTATCTGTGATCTGAGACTCCTAAAACACGCCTGGCCTCATCTCCAAGAGAAGGCTGTGACACTAGTCTATTTAGAAGATGACATTCTTCATTTTTCTAGGGAAACTGGGTGCACAACTAAAGCCAACAGGCCTTACAATTTACATTACTTTTACCAAGGAGTGGGGAGATCTTGGTCTTGTCCTCTGCTTCTGAGGCAAAGGCCCTTTAACATAAAATACAGAAACACAAACTAGAACCTGATGTGCCCATCTTTCTAGGTGCCAGTCTGCTAGAGAGCCTTCCCTCAGGAGCAGCGCAGACAACGCAGGCCTAAAACTGTCCTAGGATGAGACTACAGTTCATGCTTGCAGGATACCTGCTGGACAGAACTGCTCGGGGAGACTAAAGACCATCTGTCCCCGAGCTTGACCTTGCTGAAGGCTTAAGCAAAGATCTCTGCTGCTTGAACTGGCACTCTCCAGAGGGTGCTCAAAAGCAGAACTCAGGTTTACCTAATATGCTTTAAAGAAGGAATGCTTATTAAAAAGAAAAAAAATCCAAGTGTTAAGGAGTAGCTGAGCAGGACATCTTTCACCTCTCTACAAATATTCTGCAGTGCATAAAAAAGATTTGTATTTATCTTACAATGGTACTAAACCACCAAGCAATACTTTCAACTTTGACTTGAAAACTACGTTCATCATTTTTATTTTCTACCAATTACAATCTCAGAGAAAATCTGAACAAGTTATTAAATATTTCCCAATAGATTTTTGCCTCTTTTAGTCTTATAATTCTCCCTTTGACATGTACCAAGCATTACAATTTTTTAGCACTGAGGACTATGGTCTATAGGTACACATTAATGAAATGCTCTCGTGTAATTAGAAGTCTTTGCATTTGTCTACTTTTTTTTGTGAGTGTCTGCATACATTAGACAGGATGTACTTCAATTAGCAAACCAAAGAGAAACTTTAGCTACTATAATGAATTTTATGTTCTTAAAATGGCTTCTTTTTAAGTAGGACTTAATAAAAAAGTAGGGTTTCCTAGTCTGTATTAAGAAATAGGAAACATACACTGTGGATGTTATTTCAGAAGTAACCTCTGCAGACTCACGGTCATGGAGTGAATTACTTGCATATTACTGGAACTTTAAGGATTTCTAAATCAATTAAAACCATAGTTAGCATTTGTATAGATTCACTGGCACCATTATTTTGTAAAGAGTTTGTGTTTTCCAGAGTGGTCAGTTCTTAAATGTTAGCAGAGAAGAAAAAATTCCTTGTCTACTTCACCTCTCTCTAACTCCCAAATACATACTACACACACATAAATAAATGTGTGTGTACACATATACACCCAAACATACCTTTAAGATACTTACTACCCAGCCTTACATCAGTAATTACTTAAACTAATAGGGATGTGCACGCCTATATACCTCAGCCGCAGACTAGAAATCATTTTTTTCTGCTAAAGAGATTGATCTAAGACCAGGGAAGTGAGTACTGGTATCAGACTACTCCCATTCTGCTCAGCTGGAGAAGGTGCCAACAGATGTGGGTGAGAGAAAAAAAGAAGCGGGGGCTGCTGCTTTTTCATCTACTGTAGTGTATGTAATTGCCTTTGATACTGTCTCAATTCTGCTGGGAGCTTTAGTGTGAATGTTTTCAGAAGAGACTAAGCCCCAACATCTTTTTATGCCAATACTTTTTTTTTTTTTTCTTCAAGAAATCACTCTTTGAAACCTGTCCACAGGGTAGCTACTGCATACACATGAAAATACGAACAGATATACAATATAAATATATTCTTTGCTAAAACTTATCAGAAAGTCCAAAACTTATTGGAAAGTTATAACAACTCCCATTTGCTAGGACTACGTTACTAGAAGACAAACGTGCATTATTCTGCCAAAGCAGTAAATAAATATTAAAACAAGCATATACCTTCTTTTTCCACCGAGTCAACAACAGCATTGACAAGGTGTATTACAGTCACTACGGAAGCTTGTAAAAGGTATAAAAGGAGCAAATTAAAACAAACCTATAGTTAGTATCACTTTAAACAGCATACACATATACAAAAAAACACTGTAAAACTGTAGTTCATTACTATTTTATAAAGGAAGATTATTGGTGTACATACACATTCACTCTCTAGAAAGCAGTTGCATATAAGACATCAAATACATCTCTAAACTTGAATTTAATTCTTGACAAACATGGAAAAGTACTTGTAACTACTCCTGAAGCAAATTCTGCATGAGCACAAAGCTGCTTTATTTGTGTTAGAATTTCTGAAATGTTGCTTAAAATATACTACTTGCATAATACTTCATTTAGATAGCAATAAACTAGGCTTTTCTAAAGGCTTATGTTGGGTGAATTAAAGAATATTGCATTGGGTTTCCCCTTTTAGACTGCAAATTATTTTTTCCCCCTCCCTCAGGGTAAGAAATTTTCACTGAAATGAACAAAAATGCTAGAATATGAAAAACATTTACTGAAAACTGTTGCTGACCTACTTGTGAATAGTGGTATCACAGTAGGAATACCAAACTCAGGTTGTGATATTATTATTTAAAAACGTCCAAAATGCATGTATTTTTTGTCTTCCCTTTTCCAAGATACTTTTGGAAGGGAGAATGATTTACAGGATAGGATGAGGTAAGCACATGCAATTTGTTTGCATGGCTCAGAGATTAGATTTCAAACTAATACATTCAGAAACTACCAAAAAGGAACGAAGGAACAATATCTACGATGCTACAGCTATTTCTTTTAAAATGATGTATTAATGAGTAATTGATACATGACAAGAAATATGAGTAAGGATGTATGAAATATATGGGATGGAGAGGAGGGGAGAACAACATGTACTGCACAACACAATACCACAGGAAAAAAGTTGAAAGTTGACATCAGGTCTGCTGATGAGTACTGTAAGCATACCATTTTACTTTCACCAATCATTAACACAGATGTTTCTTTTCATGCTGTTAAGAACAAATCACTCTACTTCATTGAGAAGCAGAATGTTCTTTTTTCCTAAGCTAAAGCAATTTCAAATTCCTTTTTACAAGAGACAAAAGCAAAAATTGGAATTAAGAGTCAAAACACCTTAACTTAGTGAATTGGGTTATGAGTCAGTTGTGGCTTTGTCCAGTCAGTCTGAAACGTTTCTGAATACATAGATGCATTAATATAAACTGTAAAAGCATCTGTCATCACAACGGAAAAATAAAATATTTCCAATTAATTATAATAAAACCCACAAATACGTATGCTGATTACATTTGGATGGATTGGTGTTGTGATCAGAATATCTTTATTTTTATATTGGCTTTTTTCAATGTATGAATTTTTTAATGAATTCATTTTAATCATGGTGAAAGCCAAATATACTGTTCGGCTATATCAAAATTCCTTTTTTGTGCAGCTTCCTTCATTACTAAAGTAATCAAACTTACAAGCAGTCCCTTAAACTCTGCTCTCACTCAGAACTGATCTGATCCATATGGGAGCTGAGGTCGCAGCAAGAAAAAGAGAAGGAAACAAATGAAACTGTAACACCACAAAGCTTTACTGAAAGCTGAATGTCAAAGCAAAAGTAATATTTGTGCAGAGGCCACTTTTTAAATTCATTGTACTCTTGTGTAAAGTGATAACTAATGATTACATACAAGAGTTTCTCTAATTTGAACACACTTCTAACACCTTTTAAACACAAGGCTCTGAACACCTTGTGGTGCATTGTCACTGTTAATATTCTAACAGCAGAATGAATATATATAATTTCAAGGTATAGTAATTAACATGAGGTGTAAGATAGGCAAAATACTTTAAAAATTTAACAGATCTAGGTATTAACATAAGTAAATACAGATATATATTAAATAAGCTATTATTTAATATATATTTGATATAAGTCCTATTGATACTCAGAGATATAGATGCAAAGACAGAACAAATGAATGTAAGCAGCAGTACAGAATGATTGTCTTTTACATACCATTGTCATCACATGATTCAGACTGGAAGGAGCTGAGCGACTGGACCTCAGACATGCTTTCTCTAGCACTGTAAGGATGGGAGCTTTTTTCATCCAGAGGCTTTTTTGAAAGGCAGGGGTCAAGATCTACTACTTTAGCTGAAAGAAAAAGTTTCAAGAGAGACAATTAATAGATTTTAGATTAAAGAGTCAATAAAATTTAAGGCTGAGATCTACGCATTGTTACAAAACTTAATAGTGCACAAAGCCTGATCAGACTCAAAACCCAGTAAAGTCATAATGCCTTTTCTACCCTAACAGGCACAGAGACTTTGCACTCATATTAACATTGTACCAGCACACACCTGTAACAGAAAAGTAATAAAATAAGAACATTTCTTACTGTCATAGTCAAAATCCCAGCTAGGTTTCTGTATTGAATCGCTGTCTGAAGGAGAGTTGGAGGGAGGTGGAGGTGGCAAATTTGGTGCTACGCTGCAAACAGCTACAGCTTTCCGGTGACCGTGTACAGAATCTGGATTAAAAGTACTAAACTCTGGGTGCTCGGGGATAGCAGACCCCTCAAAAGAATTTCTGTCAAGATTGTTCCTGGAGTCGCTTGGAATGCTTGGAGTGTATGAAATGGGACGAACAGGAACCTGTGGTGGGATGTCAGAATAGATGTTCTTATTCAATTTTGCATCAAAATAAGGTCTTTGCAAGAAAGCTGTTGTAGCTCCCAGTTGCTTGTCTTCAGGTTCTGGCTGGTGCTTCTTCCTTCTACTAATCACTTTGCGGCAAACAACAAAAATCACAACTAACAAAAATATTCCTGCGATGAAAACAATAATCCCAATCACTTCGGCTAAGCTAATGTTCCAAGACGTTGAAACGTATTTGTTAAGAACAATGTCTGTGCAGTGTTTTCCTCCAAATCCACGGCTACAATTGCAGTGATATGAACCATAAGTATTCTCACAGAGGGCACCATTAAGACATGGGTTTTCAATGCATTCATCGACATCACTCAGGCACCTACCAGAAACAGAGCAATGATGGTTAGTTTACACCAGTAGTCGCTGCTGTAGTCTCCTTGTTCTCAACAATTCTAGGTATGTTTAATATACAGTACTGTACACTATGAGGCAATTTGCCATTTTATCAACATTTCAGATTTCAACCAGTTTTAACTGTTACCTGTTAAGTAATACTGTTAAAAATTCAATACATGTGGAACACTACCTACCTTTCTCCACGAAAGCCTGCTTCACACTCACAAACAGGTCCATCCAAGCTGTCAATACACTTGCCGCTGTTTTTACAGGGATTGTCTTTGCAATATGGACCCAGCTGGCACCTGCAAAGGCAAATAAAAAAAAAAGCATGAATGAACCATTACCTTACTGCAAGTGAGTAGATAGTGTGGGATTCAGAACTGTAACATAGGGACTGGCATTAACTTTAACTAACTTCAGTGGGTTTCAAAGTCTGAGTTTTAAGCAGGAAACACATAAAATAGCAGAAAAAGTGTTACATTTATAGCCTATTCACTAAGGGGTTCATCGGTACAATAAACCATACAAACATACCTTTGGCCTGTGTACTGTCCTCGGCACTGGCAGATAAAATCATCACTGACTGGGATGCAAGTACCACCATAAAGGCAGGGGTTGGAAGCACACGGGTTGACGCTTACATCGCAGTGAGTTCCCATAAACAAAGGTGCACACTTGCAGTAGTAACCTGAAATCAAATACAATCTTCTTGAAAGACACGCATGACTTTACTGGATTTAAGATAAAATCCTCCCTGCCCATCTACGGATTTAAGATAAAATCCTCCCTGCCCAATCTACTTGTTTGAAAAGAGAGAAGATGGGAGGAAATAGAAATATTTTTATCAAAAGATGAAGGGAAGCCTAACAGTAAGGTTTTTTTTGAATGTGATTGAAGGGTAACTTCCATGTCTCTCACAAAACTTAAGCTTGTCACAATGATTTCAGAATTTTTAAAGGAAGACTCTAGGGTAGGCAGTTAAGAGGATGGACCTCAGGTGTTGACATTGAAGATTAAATCCTTACTTTGTCTACTTCATACCCCAAGAAATTGAGTCTAGAACACAGGCAGACACAGCCTTCCTACCTGCTCAACAACCAGCCTTCTACAACTCTGGGAAAGCAAGAATTACTCAAAGTTGTTTTGTCCTTCAAGGCAGGGAAGTGAAAAAGCAGTTTTGAAAACTAACAGCAGAAGAATATAGCACAGCTTACCTCCATTAGACAGTGCATTGCAGATGCCTCCGTTCTGACATGGGCTGCTTGAACAACCTTCTGTGGTAGTCAGTAAGCACCCAGGAGTCACATCTACAGATTCTTCCATGTGTGCATAATTTCGAGGCTTACTGTTCAAGGGCAGCTCTTGTCCATTAAGTACAACAGAATCCATACATCCTCTGAAACCATTGCTAACCTGAGGACTTCTACCATGTCTTGTACCTTGCTGCCGAATATGACCACCAAAAAATACGTGATTATCTAGGTTTAGTGTCCTAAGTGTACCAGGAGCAGTACCAGAGGCAGTATGCACCCTATCCAGAACAAGTCGTGCATAATTTCCATCCACTTCAAGAGATACTGAATGCCACTGGCCATCATTAATCTGAATGCTCTGAACGGAGACAATCCCAGGTCCACTGCCACAATCAAATTTGTATTGCAGCCTTCCATGGTGAATCTACAGAGGAAAGCCACAACATCAACAAATGGTCTGCACGCTTAAAGAGTACAAAATATTGACGCCTATGAAAGTTTATGTTTGCTGGAGAGACAGGATGATGGTGGTGTTCATGAAAGGCAGTTTAATAGCACTGTATTCCAAACAGCCATAGTAATTGTGAGTCATTCTATATGGTTCTTTTAATTAAATAGATACTTTGTACATTTTTTTCCTCTAGTACAGTCATCAGAGATAATCATCAAAAGATTACAATACTTCAAGACTTTAAAATACTTCAAGACCTTTCATCTTGTACTTTAAGTGACTTTTTCTTTTTGGACTTAATGAGTATTATAAGCAAATAAATTTAAAGTTGTTATTTAATTCTGTACAAGTTTGTCACTTGGATGTATAACACACTCTACCTTGAAGGTAATTCTCAATTATAACAATTCTGCAGAGATGTTATGATTCAATCTTTCAATTTGGCATAAAAAATAGTAAGGAGATGGTAAGAAGAAGAGAGGAAGATATACACACTCAGAGATTTTAAAATACCTCTAAGATACTGTAGTCTGTTCCTCGAGCATACATAACAACTGCATGAGCAGAGTAAGTTCTAAGTCTCATTGTCAGCTTCATTTCCTCTTTGTTCTCATTTTCCATGAGACGGTATTTCACATAGCTGCTGCCAGTAAATGTCACAGCAGAGCCCGCCAATGCTTAGGAATGCAGAAAAGCATAAAATGTGTTAACACGGGACTGGAATCAAATTTATATTTGGAAAGTAATATGATTTTACGCAGAGATTTTTAGAGTTAATTTCTTACCAGGGCACTGTCCAGCTTTGCTGTCTTGGCAAACACAGGTGTATTTTCCTTCCTTTGGATCTCCTAAACATTCGGTACCTTCAGGGCATGGGTTTCCTTCACACACGCTACTCACCAGGGGGCATTTCCCTTCTGTAAAATAAAATACATTATTTTTGTGAAAAGGCACACTTAAGTACAGTAGCTGAAAGCAACTCAAATTATATTCCTATCAGACAAGGAAGCGAAGTAACAGTCAGGGGACATGACTGGCACAAACAGACTAGACAAATGGTGTATATAGTGGCTGGTGTTCATAGTTATCTTGATTACTCAATTCATTGGTAAAATTTGGAAACTGTTGTTGTGGTTTAAGGTATCATACACCATAAAAAACAACATGTAGATATTAAACATGGACAGAGTGGGTTGAGGAGAGCAGGAGAAGAGCGTGTCGGTATTTGAGACAGAAAAGGAATGGGCTTTAAACATTTACTTAAGATGTGCAAGTTCACCCAGCAACGTTAAGTCATGATTTTAATAAGCAATGTTGTTTTCCTCAGATCTAAAGACAAATTAATCTTCTGTTATAAATCTGTATACTTATACATATCTTAATGAATATTCATTCCCCAGTTCACTCTCTCATTCCCAGCCGAGTTTGGAAGCTGTGTGGGCTATTACTCCAAGCAGAAACCAGGAAGGATTCAGATTCTTTGCAAGAACTTACCTTCACGCATACAAGACTGAAAATGGCTGGCAATTTAGAACAGGCAACAAAAAAAGGAACTTCTTTCATAAATAGGAAAATGAAGGTGTAACTATTTAAAAAAAAAACCCCAAACCCTCCCATGTAAACTCTTTATATTATGTGAACTCTTAAAATGAGGTAATGAGAAAAGAAAGAATTACTCCTTACTCTGAATAAAATTAGGCAAATGTTGCAGTGAGGGTTACAGAACATTCTTAGTCTTGTCCTGTAATACAAATTTTCTCCTGTGGATTATGGCTGTTCAAAACCAGAACAATCTTTTCAAGGATACTGTTCTCCTTACTACTTTTCTTACCTTTACAAAGACAAACTGCTGTTCTGTGATGACGAGGAGTGACAAAACTCAACCTGGCTGTGCTGTGGGTTGACATAACGTTCTCATCCACTGTTACTTTTTCTTCACAAAATTTCAAAGGACAATCTATGCCTGTGCAAAGCTTATGGAAAACATCGATTATCCGGACACCTAAAATCTCCTCTAGGTCAGGCACAGAGGAGTTTATCTTGTGGAGCAAAATTCTCATTGGGTGCTGAGAGCTGCCAGACTTTTCAATATTCAGGACGACATCGAGGTTTGAAGGAGGATCAGAAGGCTGCAAACTAACAATCTGGATGTCATTTCTCCTCACGCCCAAAATGTTTCTTAAAGCTCTCTGGAAATTGCGCCAGTAATCACCGATGAATTCTTCAGGGGCAAGGTTCGCAAAGCGTATTGCAATGCTGTGATTTAGTAAATCTTGTGTGATTTGTCTGATGTGTACAGTAATGTCAGCTGCAGTTGTAAATTTTCCGTCTGTAACAGTGACATTTAGGAGGTACTGTCCTACGTCTAACCTTTTATGTGCTATTAGTTTGCCACCAGTACTGGAAACAGAGAACAAGGATTCCATTTTGGGGTCCAGACTGTATGTCAAAGTATCATAAACATCTTGATCGGTTGCATGAATTTTTCCAATGACACCACCTGAATATTCTTCCCCAAAGGCTGTGATAAAGATTTCTAGAGGCAGAATTGCTGGAGAATAAATGCTTTCCTCAATAACTCTAATATCAATGTAAGTCAAAGATGACAACGGTGGTTTTCCATTATCTGACACCTAAAGGAAGATGAGGATAGAATTAGATTTTTGCTTTATCTCAAATTCTACTGTAGATATTTGTACCGATTACAGTAGAGTTGTATTTTTCTGCAAAAAGAGTTCCTGCAGGTAAATGCTTCATGAAAATTTCGTAACGCATGTCCTGACACGAAAGTAAATACGGAAAATTTAAAAAGCTTGTATAAGCAGACACACACAAATATGTTTTCACTTCTTCCAAGATTAAAAGCCTACAGTGCTCTTAAAACCTGGAAATGCCAGGAAGCTGCTAACGCTTCTAGCAAATACAGAGGAAATGCACAGTAGCTGGTTTCAGACAGCAGATGGTGCTTGAAGCTTTTTTATTTCAAGCATGGAAACACATTACAAACTTGAAATGAATCACGCACTAGAAATTTACAACATGCTTCACCACAGTTATTCGGAGGTGGTCTTGAAGACAATATAAACACAATATGCCAAACAGTACTTCAAAAGGAAAATAATATATGTAGAAAGTTATGATTAGTTATGTTGTCTTTCATAATTTGTGATTGTGGAGAAGGAAAAAACCCACCTGTACTGCTATTTGCTTCAGACAATTAATTACCTTTAACAGAATCAGCCTAATTCAATTTTAAAGCCTTTTTAAACGTCATGTCCCCTGGCCTCCACCCTTTTTTGACAAAAGCATACATTGTTGTTTTATGAAACGGGGACAAAAGAGTAGAGAAGTGAGAAAAGAGCATTCCCTTTGGTTCACTTTCTTCCAATTTCTCAGTTCTTGTTTCCCTGTCTACCTTTTTCCCAGAGCTCTTTCCCAGTTACTGAAAATGAGAATGAAGAAATGGGCAAAGAAGAACTGGAGACGTGTGAAGGGACAAAGGGGATACACAGGGCTCAGAAGGTAGAAGATATCCTGCACCGTTCAAAAGATTTTACAGTAATTTTACAATGACTACAAGTAGTTGGTACACTCTGAAGATCTATGCAGAAAAGCTGCTTTTGATTTTTCATACAAATTTAAGTGAAAGAGGAAATATTCCAGGCACCAGATTATCTCTGGATGTGCACATAATCACAGCATTTTAAAAAAGGTAATGCATGTCTCACAGAACTACATGCCTTCATCCGTTAACTCGAGAAGACAGGCACAGCTAGAAATTTGCCCTCTAGTTACCCAAACATAAATAAGGAGAGAGAGAGCTCAAGTTGGCAAAGTTTTGTTTTGCCTAGATTTCTGCCTGGAAACAAGACAAGGCAGGCAGTTTAGCTACAGGACAAATGCCCAAGGGAAACAAGAAAGGGCTTAAAACAAACAGGCAAGCAAAATTATAACAAATGGACAGCAAGTTGGAAAGAAGAGCCCCAGGAGAAATGATTTTTCAATAGTGCAGATATTTAAAAATCTGCTGTGGTTTTAAACTGAAGACTTCAGAGTGTGGCACAAAGGACTGTATGACTCATAGTTGAAGATTTCACACACTAATGCTGTGAGACATTTGTTAATGGATAATCTATTTCTTTTGGAGAGAGGGAAAGCAAATGTGAGTGGCATGCACATGTAGGTGGCTGCTGGGGAAAAAAAAATAATCCTTATTCCTATTAAAACCGCAAAAATAAAGTAAAATAAAGGCTTAATGTTAAGTAAAGGTTTTTGGTGTGTGGGGTGTGTATGGGAGGGGTTGTTTGTCGGGTTTTGGGGTTTGGCTTTTATGGTTGGTTGTTTTTTTCCCCCTCAAAGTATGTCTGTAACATAAGATGACCTCTGCCAGCAATCCATTCAGAAAGCAACTAAGGTGAAAGCTGTCAATACTGAAAAGCACACCAGTGAAGGTCAGTTAAAAAACAAAAAAACAAGTATCAAGAGATCATACACAGCCATTAACTTGCGAGCTGCAAGATGAAAGTGCAGAAATTAAAGATACTGTAAACTTGAGAAGATGCCTTCCTCCAGCCTTTGAAAAAATCCTTCTTTTAAATGAACAGGGGAAGAATATTTTTCCACAAAAGTCATGTATCTATTTTTGTGCGTATCATTGGAACTGAAGTCTTGTGATATGGAAATGCTAGTTTTAGTCTTAGATGCCTTCATACTCATGTATAGTGACTCACTAAGAAGATAATAGCAAATTATAGCACTGTGTCTACTTAAAAAAGCTATCATAGTATAAGATGTTAAATGGCAATTAAAAGACAGTGACATATTTCCAGAATCCAGGCAGGGAACTTATAAATCAAGGGATTAGACAGGCTCAAAATGCTGAGATTGGGTAGTACAGCACACAGAAAAAAAATGCACATTAGTATAGTCTGCTTTAATGATTTACAATCTCTAAGGAGTCTTTGTTCTAAATGAGTACATTTGTTTTAAGACCCTTGTTTAGCTACTGGATGCCATTAAAATAGCCCTTATTCATTCCCTAGAAAAAAGGTAGTTTTCAAGTGCTGTGCTAAAGAGAAGATAGCTGAAGTACTGACAGGCTGTTTACAAGCATCCTACAGCCTAGGAAGTGGCTTGGAAATGAAAAAATTGCATGATTCCACCCAGAGAAAGGTGTTAAATAGGCGTCTCATACTTAAGAGAAGGCAGGCACATTGAGAAGGGCCAAAGGTGCAGCTAAATCATGAAAGGTGACAAAGACAGTGAAACAGTCTATACAGAGCAGACATAATTGCCTGCGTATGCATCTACACAGAACAGATGTAATTGCCTGCGTATGCATTCATAGGAGTATGTTTTAGAAGCAAAATAAATAGAAATTAGTTATTGCTTAGAGAAAATACAGAATAAATCATAGGAATCTTGTATCACCCTGATTGCACATACAGAAAAAACATTGCTGGCTCATCTTCCCTAAACAAAAAGGCAACTTTCGGGAATTGGTGTAGAACTTGGAAGCCTATTAGGGAAGTAGGACAAAGCCCAGCTCTACTGCTGTTTTGGACTCATGCAGCCTAGGAAGGCCAACACTTAGTACCTTGAAGGCTAATCAGTCCCACCACTAATTAGCAGATCACTATTTAAAAAAAAAAAAAAAAAAAAAGCTAACAGAGGAATGATATACCACCCTGCCCTCTTCTTAATCTCAATTCTTAAACCCTAAACTAAACCACATTTAAATGGAACCTTTACCTATGCTGGTTCTTACACTGATGGCTCCTGATAACACGTTTTAGTGACTCAGCCACACAACAGTACCTATGGGAATTATTTTTCCTTCCCCCCCAAAAAAACCCAGATAGACATTGTGTAAATACACCACGATTATTACCCCAATGTGGACAGTACTGCTCTAAAACTCTGCAAGTGCATGTTTATTAAGAAACTGTCTGCAATACTACGTATGAGAATAATTTGGAGATTGAAAGAAATTCCTAATGCAAAAATAAAGGTAAGAATTTTTCTCAAAACACAAATCCAGAAATGAAGTTTAAGAATTAAGGCCACCTGTTTTTAGCCTACCAATTTTAAGTCCCCTGTTCACAGCTGCTTAATTTATAACTGAATTAAAAAGGCCTGGATAAGATTAAAAAATTAGGTTTAAACTTTTCTTATATAAGGTTACAAAAAAGTATTTTAGAGAACTTAGCTATGTTAACGTAACCTGGATTTTTGGACATGGTCTGGTCTTTTTGTACAACAACGGCAAATGTAAGCGCATATTATAGTATTTCAGGGTAATTTTTGAGTTTTATGCTGTATTTTCCACTGTGAGATTCTGAGATCTCAAGTATTGCGCTGTGAATTTCAATGCTATGACAAAGGTCCACTGACCTGGTTTTCCAAACTTAAAAAAAAGATGTTTTCAATTGTGACTGGAAAAAGAACATGGCACTACAGAAAAATATTTCAGTATTGCCGTGGCGTGCAACTGTCAATATCCCTGTATCCATTGTATCAGTGTATTCCAGCTTGCAGCTTCAAGGGTGAAAGCGATAGGGGGCAAGAGGAAGTCTGCAGCTAGTAGTAGGTGGCCCAAGGGACCTGTCCCCTGCTGGCTTTTCCGGAATCCCATGTGAAAGGCAAAGGGCTTATACAGACCACTCCACCCAGTTAACATTTCCCTTACACCTTAACAATGAGTTTAATTCAGCTTACTGTTACACCTGTGCAGACTTCCATCTAAGTCAACAGACATTGTCTTTGAAGACATTACCACAAGGGACATGCCTCAAATGACTATTTGGCACATCAGGATCTTGTAACAGAAAGATAAGGGGTGAGCAGGAAAAAGTGGTGGATTGGGCATGAGTAGGAAAAGTCAATACTTATAACTCAATAACATATAACTCAATACTTATAACACAAACCAGCTAGAGGTAGCACATCCTACCTTAACATGAAGTAAATAGTGATCCCTCACTTTGCGATTCAGTGCAGCAGTTGTTGTTAGCACTCCCTGCTGGTTAATCTGGAAAGTGTTCTCTTCATTTCCACTCAGGATGGTGAAGAGAAAAGGAGGGCCATTGTGAGAAGAATCCTTGTCTGTCACCACTAGCTGTAGCACACTAAATCCAATAGGCTTATTTTCCTATAAATGCATAACACAATCACATTGGTTTTGTTATAATTGATCATATAGCCTGATGTTGATTTATTTTTCACAACAAAATACCAAATTACTGGCAAACCAGTTAATCAGTATAAGAGAAATTAAGATAACAATATTGTTTAAGGAAACCCTCTGAGAATAATGACAAAAACAGTAAAGGAGAAAGGCAGTACATTTCTAAACTTTGTTTTTTTTAAAATTTGCCTTATAGTTTTAAAAGTAGCTCAGCCTTGAAACTTTACATTTTCCACTTTTGGTATGAATTAAGATTACTGTAGATTAATTACCAAGTTGTCAAAGATTTCTAATTTAGCTAAAACACCTGTTAAGAATAATCCAATGCCTTTGTCAGGAGGACTAGAAAAACACACTCCTCCATCTGATCTCTTGTGTCCCTAATTAGTGTTCTGACTACAGTTGTGGCTGCTACTGCCACAGTCTGGTTACAATATGAAATCTGCGTTTTAAAATTTGCATCATAAAATCCCTTCAAGTATGCATCATGTGGATGCCTGATGTTTCACAGACACTTCACACGCTTTTGGTTTATCGTGTATCTGATACACACACACAACCTTACCTAACACTTGTAACACCTCTCCTGGAATGTTCGTGCTAATCTGTATTGACCAAATTTTTATATGTATATACACGTCTTTTAAATGCAAAAAAAAGTAGAAGCGTTATTGTGAAGTACAACAATAACACAATGCTATCCTTTCACAGTTGCAAAACTCCTAATAACAAGCATACTCTTTGTTCTTGAGAGAGTAAGTAGGTGAAATTCTGTCAAGTTAATTATCAGATATTGCAGCTGAAATTTTTTTTCCCCTTGAGCAAAACAGACAAGGACCTTCATTTTAAAATACAAATATTTACATTTGGATACCTAAAGTAATTTGATTTTCATAATAGCTAAGCACATTTCCAACTGTGTCCAAATATGTCCATCTCCAATATATTAAGAAATGCACACCAGCATTCTTGGCAACTCCTCCAGCTTTGTCTCTGCTACCCTCATACTGGGACAGGCTGATATGAACGAACTATAAAACACGAGGTCTTCCTTTTTCATTGAGTAAGGGAAACATTACAGACACTGGCTATATTGTCTACAGTTGTAGGGGATACATTAACATGCACTTCAAGAAAGACTGTAACTGGGGAAAGCAAAATACCTTTCCCCCCACAAACATATAAACTGTTGCTTTAGGGAAATCTTCCTTGCATACTCTCTATATGCTGGGTAGAGATGAATCACTTTGTCCTCTTTTGGAAAGCTACCTTTACAAATCATGTACATGGTCTCAAACAGAAGTGGTATGTTAGGATGGCACAGTGCACCAGATAACATTGCCTGATCTCCACTTATCTATTGTACAAGGCCAGGCACCAGCAACAGCAAAAGGACCCAAGGGATTAAGCTCACTTATGCTGCTGGTATAAAGGTCTTAATGCAATTCCTTTGTTCCCTTCCATTTATTCTCTATTGGATTCAGGAAGACAAGAAGTAGAGATGGTGCCTCTGCTATCTTTGCTTTAGCAGAGTGTTTTCTGAATCAGGCAAGTACATGCTAGCCATTTGAGAATATGGCCCACTACTACCCTCCTAAGGTGCAAAATTAATCAAAGGATTGGTATGTAGTAATATGAAATACTACTCCTGTTTTAACTTCTGATCCCAGAGGGGGCCAATAGAAATTAAATCTCAAACTACGTGCTACAGTGCACAACACTTGCTTCACACTAACAGGTACCTAAAGTACCTTTTCCTAAGCAGTTACTCTAAGATTAAAAAGAAATAGCAAGATTATTATATATTTTTACCTATGTTGTACTAAGAACATTATAAACATGAATAAAATGTATAATATATATACTCATACACACAGTCAACTTGCAATGTAAGTTTGTAAATCAGTTGCACAATGTGTATTTTGTAACACACAGCACTTACTCAGGTTAGCAGTCTCACTGATAAATAATTAAAAATACAGAAAATTGAAGCATTAGGTTTATCATCTTGCAGAATTCTTCAAGTCACAAATTAACACACAAATAATATTACTTATTTCATTACTAAAACTTCTCCACCTGTATTTATGTTACCTGGATGATAACGCTATAGTTTCCTTTTGAGAATACCGGAGGATTGTCATTTACATCAGAAACATCAATATTAACTGTGGTTGTGTTAAGTTTAGGTGGGTTTCCATTATCTGAAGCTTGAACTGTCAAGGTATATCCTGAAATCTAAGGATAATAATAAAAAAATAAAAATAAAACATTCACTAAGGAGCAAGAAGTAACGAACTCGGCTTCTGTTTTAAGGAAGAAATATTTTAGTGCAAACCCCCAGTAAAGCTTGCCTTCATATATGTAATTTTTTCTCTTCCTCCCTGCTCCCAAAAAGCACTGACATAAATAGATGCTTTCACTTTATTACAGCTATATTAATTTTGGAACATGAAATGGTAATTTACAAATATAATTAAAAATGGTGGTCATCAATTTTGTATAGCTAAATTAATCCCAACTGCTCAAAAAGCATCAAAAACTTACCTTTTCTCTGTCTAGGAGTTTAGTCACTTTTATTTCACCTCTGGTAGGGTCAATTGTAAAAGGATTTCCCTGATTGCCATCTATAATTGTGTAGTGAATGCGGTTGTTTGAAGGTCCATCGGCATCATCTGCCATAACCTAAGGGGACAGTACAGTCTCATTTAAAGTAAGTTGAAATAGACTCTATCACTTTTCAGATGTGCTCATCTTCAGAATGAGTTTAACTGTTTTGGTCTAACACATTTCATAGTTCTCAGGAGAAATGTCATCTGAATAGAACATACCAACATCACTTAATTTCCTGAATTTCTTCTCATGAGGAGAACATAAATATATCACAAAATATCATCTACTTTCCCATAGCATCTCAAGTCCCTGGTTCTGAAACTTTTTCAAAATAATTTTTCATTTCACTCAGTGGCAAACTTATCCATTTATGTCCATCTTCAGTATTTATTCCTTCAAGACTAAAAGCATGATTGTCATGACAGAGTATTTCAAAGTAAAAAAACAACAATACGTACTGTAATGACTGATTGTTCAAGCATAGCATCTTCACTGATTACTGCAGTGTATGTGTCTTGGCTAAACACCGGAGTATTGTCATTGATATCTGTTACATTAATATTCACTGTTACAACATCACTTAATGAAGGTGTGCCTCCATCTGTGGCTTCCACTGTCAAGTAGTACTCATGAGACCTTTCATAATCCAAGCTCTCAATGATAAAAATGGCTCCTAGGGAAGAAAAATAATAATAATTTTTAAAAATCACACAAACTCTGCTATTATTGTAGTATTATATATTCATAGAATCATCACAGAATGACAGAATGGTTTGGGTTGGA